TTATGAGGAAAAACCAACCATCATTAAAGAAAGAGGTGGAGGGAGGAGGCCAAGTGCATCTGTCCCTGCCGGGGTGCCCAGGGAGTGTTGCCCAGGTGTTTGTCCCAGTTCCCCCCAGGACGCCGCACAGAGAGGGGGAATAGAGCTACAACTGGCAAAGACAACTTTATCCCCCCGGCCGGTGCAGCTGGGGCATGGAAATGACCCGATCACCGCGCGGGTACAGCCTGAGCCCAAGCTTTTCCCTTCCCAAGGAGGAGGAAGGGGAGGCAGGGAGGGCTGCTGGGTGCCCAGCAGGTGCTGAGACCCCCCCCAGCTGATGGGAGCAGGAGAGGGGACTCTGAGGTGCAGGGAAGGCTGGTGAGCTCCCCTGCAGGCACAGGGACGTGGCTCTGGAAGAAACTGCCCAGGAATGCAGCAAACACTCCCCCACCCAAGGAGCCTCTTCATTTTCCCTCCCCGCCCCCCCTTCTCCCACCCCTCAGCTCGCCCTTTGGACACAGAATACATAAAAGCCCTCCAGCCTTGGGGTGGGGGGGGGCTGCTCCTGTCCCCCCCAGCCCCTTGGGACAGCAGTGGGGGGCCCCTCCCAGCTCCCCGTGGAGGGGTTGTGAAGGCAGGAGGTTGCGTGGCCTGGCACCCCACGGTCCGAGCCTCCCCCAGGAACAGCGAGAGCAGGGGGTCTCTGGTGCAGACCCCCCTGCAGTCCCAGCCCAGTGCCAGCTTCGGTGTCCCCTCAAGGTGGACAACAGTCACATCAGCCCAAGGGGCTGAGAAGCCCCGGCCCAGCCCCAGGAACCCCCTGGGGGGGGCTGCAGAGGGGGACGGAGGGCTGGTGGTCCGGAGCTGGAGAGCCCGGGCTCTGCGTCACATGATTTCACAGCATGAATTCTGCTTTCGGGCCTGCAAAGAGAAGGAAAACCTTCTGTAAAGCTTGCCACAGCTCTCTGAAGGTTTTGGGTGTCCCAGGACCACCCAACTGAGGTCCCACACAGCTCTCCTCCTGGCCACAAGGCCGAAGGCTCATGGCAAGGAATGGACCCATCATCCCTCCCTTTGGCCAGAGCTGGCACTAGGAAGCGGGGCATCCCCCCGCTCCCTCCCCAGGGTGTGGGATGGCCCCAGTGAGGGGTTGGGGGGCTTTGCAGCCAGAATTGGGGCACCCGGGCTCCCTCCAGGCTCAAAGCCTGCAGGAACAGGGGTAATCCCTGCTTGGCACCCATTGCCATGCCCCAGGGTTCATCCATGGGGGTGACCCCTGGGACGATACTCCATCCACCCCCAGCTCCTTAGGCAGGGGGTGACTCCCTCAGGGTTCATCTGTGAGCTCCCAGCCCTCCCCAGCTCCTCAGGGAGGGGGTGAACCTCCACACCCACCGTTTTGTAGAAGGCTTTGGACTGTGCTCCGAGCACCTCCGATTTGGAGACCAGGTCATCCAGCTTCTCCCCCCGCTCCAGCAGTGACTCCATAGTGTTGTGCTGCCAGAGAAATGGGTGCTGAGCCCCAGTACTAGCCCTCCCCAGGTCCCCAGCAGGAGATGGAGGTGCCATCATGTCCCCATCCCACCTTCCCACAGCCCCCCCCAGCTCTGCAGCCCTGAGGGAGACAGGAATATGGCTGGGGGCAGGAGCAGCAAAGCCCCCACAGGGCCACGAGGCAGGGAGGGGACAGGCATTTGGAGAGAGGGGGCAGAGCCCCTGTGCTTGTGTCAGGCCAGCTGGGAAAAGCCCAAGAGGAGCAAGGAGAGGGGTAAGGGGAAAAAGGTGGGGAGCAAGGGTAAAAGGGGAGAGGGAAGGGAAAAAGGTGAGGGAAACGAAAAGGTGGGGAAGGAAAAAAGGGGAAGAGGTAAGGAAGCTCCCACATCAAGAAGGTCTCCAGGAAACAGCCTAGGGTCACCCTACCCCTGCCCCAGAATATGTGTCTCCAGGGCCTGCTGGTTATGCTGGCAGGACCATCCAGCCACGGCCCCATGTCCTCACCAGGATGATTTTGGTCTCGTCCAGCTCCGCCTGCACTCGGGTCATCGGGTCGGCATCACGGGGGTTCTGGGGAGGAACAGCATGGCACTGGCACCACCATGGGGACACTGGGGTTCCCTGGGCACAGCACCACAGCACTGGGGTCCCAACACGTGTCAGGTGTCCCCCACCTCCCACCGCCATCCCCAGGGCTGCAGGGAACACGGGAACCCTCTCTCCCACTGCCCAGTGGGCTCCCAGTGGTCTGCACCTGGTATTTGCTGAGGTATCCATCCAAGGCAGAGTAGCTGATGGTGGCGGGGGACCCCGAGGGCCAGTCCATCTTGCTGACCTGCCTGGAGAACTCATCCAGCACCTACCAGGTGAGGAAACAGCAGTTACTGCTCAGTAGCTGCACCTGTGGGGCCACACTGGCCGGAGGGGTTTGCTCATCAAAATAGGAAATTTTAGGAAAGGGACCTGAAAGCTCATCTAGTCCCACCCTCTGCCATGAGCAGAGACACCTTCCATCAGAGCAGGTTGCTCCAAGCCCCGTCCAACCTGGCCTGGAACACTTCCAGGGATGGGGCAGCCACAGCTTCTTGGGCAACCTGTGCCAGGGCCTCACCACCCTCACAGGGAAGAATTCCTTCCCCTCTAACCCTGATTTGTGTCAGCGTGAAGCCATTCCCCCCTGGCCTG